ATCAAATGGAACATCAACTGTTGTTCGAACCATATACAGGAGCAGGGCTTTGTAGATTGGCTGCATCTCAAAGCAATGCACCAGCAGGTAACCGAAAACACGCGTTTTGGTTCGAGACAACAACCATCTCTGCTGGACCCGTGGTCATTAAGTTCACACCAGAAACAAGGCAACTGAAGCCACATGGACGCATGGTGCGCTGCTTCGGAAAATTAGATGTTAACGGTCTGCGAAGGAAGGTAGCTGAGCTCGTCTGGCCGAAAAAAGGTTCGTATTGGAGGATGTGTGGAGAATAATTAGGNCGCTGCTTCGGAAAATTAGATGTTAATGGACAGCAAAGGAAGGCAGCTGAGCACGTTTGGCAGCAAGCCGAAGATAGGTTTGTTGTAGAAGATGTGTGAAGAATAATTCAGGAGAACTTGCTTGCATGGCAGGATGAGTTCGCGACTCTGAAAATACGGAGGTCATTCGGTAAACCCTCTTGGTGGAAGGCTTCCATTGGAAAAACAATATGCTGTCGCAGCGCTAGCTGGAAAAGATACCGAAGGGTAGGATCGCAGCTGTCGTGGATGCGTTACGTAGGACACAGGAACGAGGCTGTTTGCGCTGCTGAAGCGAAAAGCGAAAATACCAACTAAATCTAGCGAAAAATGTGAAGGCAAAGCCGAAAAGGTAGTATAGTTATGTGCAATCCAAGAGGTTGCTTAAGGATGAAGTAGGGGCCATTAACCTGGAGGGCGATAAAATATTCACAACGGACCAGTAGAAGGCTATAGTACTAGGGAGATACTTTGTAAGTGTGCTCAGAGAGAATAGAGGCAAGGGTTGTCCCGTCTGGAGGAGGTCAACAGATCTGGACTATTGAGGACCTAATCATGAAACCAGAGGGGGTGCGCAAGTTTCTGTCGGAACTCAGCGTAAACAAAGCACCAGAGTCATATAGGATTCATCCATTCATCCTTAAACCACTAGCAGATGTCCTTGCTACACCCGTGAGCCTGCTTTTCCAATTATCACCAGCGGACGGAGTTCTGCCTAGTGACTGGAAGCCAGCTACTGTGGTAGCGCTTCACAAGAAACTATAGACCAGTAAGCTTAACCAGCATCTTCTGAAAATGCACGGAGATGTTGATTAGGGAGCCTGTATGTAGACATCTACTGCGTTAGGCTCTACTAAGTGGGGTGCAGCACGGATTCTTAAAGCATAGATACTGTCTCACTAACCTTCTGTGCTACCTGGATGAAGCCACAGAAAAACTAGATGAGGGCCATATCATTGAGGTTTGTTACTGCGGTTTTAGCAAAGCTTTCGATTCTGTGAACCACAGATTGCTCCTTCACGAAATCAAGAGCTTTGGGCTAGAAGGAAATCTGCATAAGTGGCTAACAGCTTTCCTCATAAATAAACCCTTCGCAGTGAGGGTAGGGGTGGCCAGTTCTCAGGTCATTCGATTGACCAGTAAATTGCCTCAAGGTTCGGTTCTCGGACCGTTACTCCTCCTCTTATTCATCAATGACTTAGTGGGGTGAACCAACTCACCTTGTTTCGTCTTCGCATATGACGTGAAGTTAGTGGGATTGCGTGGTAGGGCCAACCTAGCGAGCGACATTGAACGGGAGAAGAGTGGTCGAATACGTGAGACTGGGCACTGAATGCGGTCAAGTGTCAACTGTTGACCAAGCAAAAGGATCCATTAGTTGCTGTCGATACGTGGGGAGTGTTCGAAGTCCAACCAATAGAAACTGTCAATGATCTTGGGGCAGTAATGACTTCTAATTTCAGCTGGGGTAGCCAATGTGGAATCGCAGCTCGCAAGACCCTGTGAGAACTTTTCCGGCTCAAATCTGCTCTTTCTCGCAGAAAACCGAAAATCTTTGTCCCGTTGCACAAAGTAATAATAAGACCCCATTTAGAATAATGCGTTCAAGCTTGGGCACCTCTGCACAAAATAGATGCCGCACGGCTGTAGACTGTGCAGAGACTAGCTACAAAAATGGTAAAGAGGCAAAGAGGTTAATTAGAGGAGACCCTAAAGAAGCGTTTAAAATTTGGAGGGGATTCTCTGGAATTCCCCCAGAGGAACTCTTCACTGACGCCCCGTATGCTGGTACCAGGGGTCACGAGAACAAACTGATGAAGAAAAGGCTTTGATTAGGTGTGAGTTTTAACTGCTTCAGCAATAGAATAGTCAACAGATGGAATAGACTACCCGATGAACTAGTCAACCCACCTAATGTTCACGCCTTCAAACTGGCTTTGGATAAGAAGTGGTGAGAACTGTTCCCAAACGAGGAGTACTGAAAAGGATGCGAATGTTAGGTTTACAAGTAAGTAAGGTTTCTCTCTGTTTGCAGATAGACGGAGAAACCGATCAATTGAAGAAGTGGATGCACACTCGTGAGCACATCACGGAAGTAATTCTGGAAGCTCGATTGAACGTGGCTACCACCAGTCCTGTGCAATCTGACCTAACCTGACATAACTTGACTGCATACCACCGAAGGAATTCTGGACGAAATTGGTATATGGCAGGTCATAAATGGTAAGCGCGCAGCATCTAAACGCGGCTTTATTCAAAATATTCAAGGTCATTTGATCGATTCCCATTCTCCAAGCCACGAAAAAGAACCCAACTGGAGACGACTGTTGCTCAAAAATTATTTCGCTTATTACAGACCCTAAACATAACGCCGGTTTCAATGAGGCAGCAAAAAAACAAAAGAATTAAATTAATAAACTTAAAAAAATAAAATAATTAATTGTTAATATAAATGAACGAGTTCTCGGAAGGAAACTCCAGCAATAATAAATATTCAGGAATTACACCTACCAAATAACTGTCAAAAGCTATTCTAAATACTATTCTGAAACGAACTGACTTTCTCAACGGGGTCTGTGATTCATGCAGTTCAATATCACATAACTTTCAGTTACTTATTAATATATTCCGCGCAAATGATATTACTCGTATAAGCAACGGTTTAAACGAATGCATACCGCTGGGTGTCAGATACCCCCTCATGGAATCTTTAGCAAGGCGAATTCCATGCGTCACTTCCAGTGACATTACTCGTTGTAGCACTTTCTTTAATACACCCACTAATGAAGACCGAGGAGACAAGTTTGTCTTGAGGTGCTTAGTTTTTCTTCTCCACTCGGTTGGTAGCTAGGATTTCTAAAGTCAACCTAGTCCTCACGACATACCCTGCCCACTGCCCTCAGTATGGTAACCAAGTTCGGAGTAAATAAACACCTGCTTCAGGGCTAGAACCTTCTACGGCAGCCATGAACCTACGAAACGGTACCTCAATATAAAAGGACACCATGTTGCGCATCCATTGAACGATGCGCTGCTTTTCGAACGTTAGCATACCAGATACCTGGTTACATTTATTTTTCATATACTAAACCAGATGGAACGGACAGAATATCACATTAGAGGACGGAAAATATTCTGAAAATGCGTTGTACTGAGCCCAGGTACGATCAACTAAAATAGTCTTGCATTGTGCAAACGCTGGGCACATAGATTTCATGGCTCCCACAGCAGATCTATAAAACTCACCGCTCTCATTCGGCGAGATAGCGTAGAAGAAACTTATACCTAAACCGGTCGTCCAAAAGCATAGCATGCCAAAGCACGTACCCGCCACAGGTTAGCTAACAAAACATCATTAAACCTGGCGTAGCAGTGCAACATAATCTTAGGAACAAAATAAATGTGACGAACGACGCCTTCGCTCAGACCTATCCTAACCTCTCCCTGAATCTCCAGCATATCCCTAACTTTCACCGCATCGCCACGTAAATCCGAATGCAACATTCTTCGACGTATGGATCTCATATCTGCCGTAGTCAAGGTTCTCTGGAACCTGTGTGTGGCGAATTCTCTTAGCTCGCAAGTACTTCTGAAATTGTCCACCAAAGTACACACTTCCTCTTTCTGCTCTCCAGTTAGACGACGATTACTTGTATACAGACCCCGCTGACCCACATGGAAGTCATGGTTGTGCACCACACAACGTTTCATCACTCGGTACTCCCTCCCGACCACTCGAATTCCAACGAATGCCGGACAATCGATATTTTGCAGCCCAAAATGGGTTAAATACATTAGAAATGAGAGTCATAATTA